CCATGAATACGCTCTCGGTTGTATTGTTGTTCTTAGGAATTATTGAGAATAAATTGACTAATTTTTCTTAAACATTAGTGCTCTGTTGCAATTAATTGTATAGAATTGGGTATGGGATTAACAATTTCAGTTTGTTGTATATTGTATTTCTGTTCGCTTATAAAAACCCTATACAAGGAACTAATTCGATATATTTTATTGTCTTTAACTAAGTATTCCGGATATAAGTGAATCCAGATTGTTGAATGTCTCCAATTGAGTTCGTTATATTTTATGTCGGAGTTTACATTGTTATTTGTAGGCAGTTTATCAATCCTGATGTAATTGTTACATATCTGTTTCAGTATGCCACTTTAATTGTCTAATTAGGTACATGTAGCTTTTGTAAGAGCGTTGTGTTATAATATACTTTTTTAGTATTTAAGGAAAAATTCCTAAGTGGCAGCTATACTGTTCACAAGGCGACACACCCAACTTGCGGAGTTCTAGTTGTAAAAAAAAATTGTGCTGTAGTAAATATATATGTATGTCAAACTAACTTAGGTGAACTTAAAACTTCTGTTCAATTAAAGTGTATCACATCATTCCTCTTACTCCGTTTATCAGAATATTATTTTGTCCAAAATATTTTCATCCGCTTCTTCACTCATACTGGACAGAAAATCGTTGTAACAAATAGATTTTCAATTTAATTCTGAGTATACATGTATTATTTTCCTTCCACATTTTTTTTTGCCATTTTAAGTGGATTACATGATCATTTTACTAACTTCAGTGGTATCTTCTACGTTTTAAGGTGTGTTACATTTATCGTCATGATTTTCTTTTTTAAAATTGGAATTTGGAAAGAATTTATGCGAGTTTAGATGTGTTAAGAAGTACTTATTAGAAGTTATCCGATAGCACCGTGCATAATGACCGTCTCCCATAGAACACCTTAACCTGCGGTTGATATGTTGTTTTTCTTTATTTTGATTTCAGGAACAAAAGATCTATGTATGTATGTTAATTTCTCCAATTGTTTCAGATACGAAGAGGAAAACGATTGCAATATTTATTGGATGATAGTCCTAAACATGCGCTTGGGGTCAGATACATACCGATAAAAAATGGACTTTTGACTTGAAATTTATGTATTTGTTAAGTAGAAAAACACACTAAATTACACGAACTGTAGCGTCAAGATGGCTAGTCATCTATGTGATTTGTGCGTGTATCTTTTTTGCGACACGAATACTTTGCTGAGAAGTTTTGTCCTGTCTCCTGTAGAAATCTAGACTTATTCTTCATTGAATTATTTTATATTTATGAGTATTGATGATTGTTATTTCTAAAAGATTTATGTATATATTAATATTCATTTTTAGGAAGTAATCAGCATTTTTTGGTTTTTTTTGGTTTTTGTTTTGGTTGTTTTTTATATTTTGTTGGTTTCTTTTTTGTTTGATTTGGTGGTTTTGTTGAGGTTCATTTTTTGGAACATGCATTAAGTAACATAATACACTTAACTTAACGCTGTAATGTTTAAATGTTTTAGCATTTATGGTTCTTATTTCTTGCAAAGTTGTGACTATTGATGGTTCATTATATGTTTGTGTAATGAAGTGGGAACAGTAACAGAATCATGATGGCGTTTATTTCTGACGTGGTGCATCTCTAACATATTTCATATTATCATGTTATATTATTATTTATCTATATGCATGGCATCCAAGAATCATTATCATGGAATACATCAATCAAGTTATATTCAAATATTTATGACATAGTTAAACATGTTGATTGAGAATGCCAAAAATAAATTTCTACATTAATAATATCATATTGATATGCTAATCTACCAAATTGTCTCGTCTTTCAAATGCTTTAATACAAAATAATGCTAATTTTCTAATAACCAATTTTCTATCTGCGTTTAACAATTGTATGAATTTATAAACACTAGTATATATATATATGTTGTGTTTTAAAAAAAGAGAAAGAAAAACCCCTTTTCTCATGAATTTGCATGTTTTGAGTTTGAGCCCTGTGCTGTTTGGAATTTAATATCCTAAAATTTTATGTCTGGCATTAGATTTCCATGAGGTTCATCACAATATTTAATTTACATGTAATTTGAATTCCGATAAAAATGCAGAAATATCTATTTTACTGGTCTGCCCAAAGTGCATGTTTCATTATCTAAAATTATTATTTTTATCTCTTTGTTAATATTTTTTCATATTAGATAGAGGATATTGAATGAGGGTTAGTTTAATACTGAATACTGCGAGCGTCTGCCATGACGAGCATAATATTTTATTCAACGAGTTAGATAAATTTAGTAATGAACTTGAACGAATATAATATTCTATTTATCACATACCCAAAATGAGAACTGTTTCAATAAATGCAGTATTAAAGTTACACTCATTCAATACCCTCTATGTATGTAATAGAGTCATTATTTTAAGCTGTTGATTTCAATATATTAAATGAGAAGCATAATATATAAGTTAGTTATGTCAATATATTGTCAATAAGTCATTAAACGAGAAATAAACGAGGAATATGTAAATATTTCATTTTGAAACATTTTTAATTATTTGAGAATAACTGATGGATGATAAAAGACAAGTTTATATGCTATATGTTATATGTTTAACACTCATTTAGTCAATGGGATAAATGTAAGTAATATTGTCCGAGTTTATATTTATTTTTATGATGTTTGTATCATCATCCATTTAGTTATATGTGATACTATTTTGTACGACATAGAATGATTGAAATCGTATAGAAAATGTTACCTTTTGCAATACTAATGATGTATGTGCGACACTATCTTATTTTGTTTTTAAATTTCATCAGTTATTCTAGGTTCAGATCCATGGTTTGTATCGAGGTTTGAAATGCTATTAATTTTCATTTGTGAATGTATGTTCTGTATTAATAGAACTTAATCTCCGGAATGTAAGAATTTTTGGGGTTTTCCAGCATATTCCGTTTTTAGGGTACAGGTTTTGAAAACTTTTTACAGTTTATTATTGTTGGGTGGTGCTTCGAAATAATGATATATTGTTGTTGCAACGTGGAAGCTATTAACTTGTTAGTTGTTAGTTGTACCTAGAGATTATTTGCTGGGATAAATGCGCACGTTGTCGCTGTTTCCTGGATGAATGTTTATGTTTTGTTCAAGTCTCTTTGGAGTGACATTTCAATTTCAAAGTATACTTTTTCTTATATGAGGTGTTAATAGTTAATTATTTATTTTGGTCAGTACTGTACAGGGTGTGCATATGTCTTAGTCTCTTTTCAGTTCCATATTGTTAGATTTTGTTTTCCAATATTCTTAACTAAATTTATAGCAAGCTGTATATTGTTTTATTGATGTAATCCTTAGAAAAAGAGTTATTTTTATATATAGAATAGGCTAGTATTTTATATATAGAATCTATGTTTATATAGTATGTGCAATAACTGGATTATAAAAATCATTTTAAGTTGACCTATTTTGTCCGTTTTGTTTATTTATCTTATTTGCCGACTTAATTTCTTTAAATGTATAAATGTTCATTTTATGTAAATATGTTGTTCTTAAATGTACACTATGAATTAATACGAAAGTCAGTTTTCATTTGTTCTCTGGTATTAAATAATGAATATTTAATAAAACAGAGCCTTTATAGTTCCGGCTTTATTGTTTGTGACAAAGCTTAAGATTGTAATAATTTTATTACATATATATGACGTAACGTCATGAATACTGAATAAAGTGACGTCACGTTTGCCGTCATGTTATAATAGTGTTTAATAAACCGGATTGAATAGCAAAATTGTACGTAAAGTATTCCATTTAAAGTTTAAAAAACAAACTATAAACTATTAATATACAGCATGCCTTCAGAAACGAATACATCTTAATACATCTCTATGTGACATCCAACACGTTATCTTTTGTTTGAAACAAGTCAATTTCCTTGGCCAATACAAAAATCGATATTAAATTGGCATTAAACTACATATAGCCATTATTACATACTATAGATAAGGTGTAAGACATTTTTACAATGTAGTGTAAAATTTTTTCAGAGAAGTTACTAACAATGCAATCTTCATGTGGATCTAATAATAACGTATAAATTAAATATGTACAGCTCAAAATTTGACAAAGAAATTCGCACACACAAAAATGCAAGACAGGTTTATACTTTATTATTCTAATAGTTAGTTGTAATGAGACCAGCAAGATGACACTCTCTAATGAAACCGAGTCTGCAATTATCACACTTGAACAATGTTTTCATTGTTCCCGACCATATTCCCCTTTTCCAGATTTTAAGAAACAAACAATAGTATCCTTACAATAAATTTTTAGATTCATTAAAAATAATTCAAACACTCTATGGCACAATGTTCTAATGTCCAAACTTGTTTGATCTTTACGGATTATTTTTTCCTGTTTATTATTGAAATTGTGACCCCAAAGAATGTATGATATAGAGAAAGGAACGTTACAGGACACTTCATTGTTGAATAAGTTCAGTGTATCAAAGTATTTATGCTTTGCATAGTTAGCATTGATCTTATCATATTTTATTGCTCATATATACATGTAAATATACAGAGAAACAAATTGATTTCGAAATAACAAATAGCAAAAGGGCTGGGCCCAACAAATTGCAAAAGGGTTGGGCCCAACAAATAGCAAAAGGGTTTGGCCCAACATATAGCAAAAGGGTAAGGTCAAACATATAGCAAAAGAGTTGGGCCCAACATATAACTTAAGGGTTGGGCCAAACAAATAGCATACGGGTTCGGCTAAATAAATAGCATAAGGGTTAAGCCCAACAAATAGCAAAAGGGTTGAGCCCAACAAATAGCAAAAGGTTTGAGCCCAACAAATATCAAAAGGGTTGAGCCTAAGTTCTTACAACATTAGCGATCAGCCATGAACATATTTTGAATTAAGGTTTAGAAAGTTAAAACAACAGATGAAATTTTGGTTCTTTTCATTACAGATGTGTACAACATGGAGAATATGTCCGGAAGTAGAAAGAGGGGATACGGAAGGAAATTGGACAGTAATATGTGTCACGTATGTGAGAAATTGTTGCAGTCACCTTCACATCTCCGTAGACATATGTTATCACATACTGGAGAGAGACAATATTACTGTGAACTTTGCTTGAAACAATTTGTCTTGAAACAACATTTAAAAACTCATTTGAAAAATGTTCATAAAGTTCAATGAATTTAGACTTTTCTTATCCGAAATCAAGTTGTTTTAGTAAAGATAAAAGTACATGTAGTTTTATACGTTTAACTTTTTAAATTTGTTTGGGTGTCGCTTTTTTATTTCCTTTAATTCTTAAAAAAAGACCGGTAATCTTGTTTCTAAAAATAAATAAAAATGAATATTTGAACAGTTTGCTAAGCGTTTCTTTCATTTGTTTCTACATTATTTATCCTGTAGATTTAGCAACTTTCATGATGAATATGGGAGAGACCACATATTATAGCAACATGTTTCACATCGCATATAATCGCATAATAGAAATAATTATACATAATTAATATTGTATCGATCAAAATTACATTTTATTTAACTTTTGTTTTTTTTAATTACCGTCTTTTTCAAACATTGACCTGTTTTTCCCCAGAAATTACGCCATATTTTATTACAATATATTATCTACTTGAAGTGAATACTAGTAAAAACTAGAAATGTGTCCATAGGACACGGGTGCCCCCACACTCCAACGATTTGTCAATCTTATGTCTCTAGGTCATTTTTTTTGGCTACATGTGCCCAAGTTGAAAACTAAAAAACTTTTATTCACTACAGGTCATAAACTTTTTGAGTGACGTGCAAGACAAATTAAAATATTGTAAATTTTTACTAAGTCAAGGGCAATAACTCTAAAAATACTAAAAATATCCACACGAAAATACCCAGGTGCACAACTACACATGCTGAGCAACATTCTTGTAAGGTTTCATGACTCTAGGAAAATTACTTTTTAGCTCGACTATACGAAGTTTATGGAGAGCTGCCCTACTCGCCCCGGCGTCCGCGTCCAGATTTCAGATTAAAGTTTTGGTGCAGCAAAATATTTTTTATAACTTTGTCATTTCTTAAGGTATCAACTTCAAACTTCAAATATATGTTCCTTATCATCAACCACATCTTATGAGACAAGGTTCATAACTCTAGCACCAATATTTTCAGATTAATCTCCCCTTGAACTTAGAATTTTCTTTAAAAAATACTATTTTTAGCTCACCTGAGCATGCTCAGGGTGAACTTTTAGGATCGATGATTGTCCGTCGGCCGTCGTCCGTCGTCCGTCCACATTTAGTTCGTTAACACTCTAGCAGTCGCATTTATTCCTCAATCATCATGAAACTTTGTCAGAATATCTGTCTCAATAATATCTCGGATGAGTTCGATCATTGGTGACCTCCGATGAAAAACTAGGTCACAGGAGCTAAAAATAGAAAAAGCTTGTTAACACTCTAGTGGCTGCAGTTTTGATCCAAATATTCTGGAAATTTGTCAGGAAGGTTGTTTTGATGATTTCTAGGTCAAGTTTGAAGATGGGTCATGTCCGGTCAAAAACTAGGTCACATATTCTAAAAGTAGAAAAAGCTTGTTAACACTCTAGTGGCTGAAGTTGTTATTCAAATATTCTTGAAATTTGTCAGGAAGGTTGTTTTGATGATTTCTAGGTCAAGGTCGAAAATGGGTCATCTCCGGTCAAAAACTAGGTCACAGGAGCTAAAAATATAAAAGCTTGTTACCACTCTAGTGGCTGCAGTTTTCATCCAAATATTCTGGAAATTTGTCAGGAAGGTTGTTTTGACGATATCTAAGTCAAGTTCGAAGATGGGTCATGTCCGGTCAAAAACTAGGTCACATGAGCTAAAAAACGAAAAATCTTTTTAACACTCTAGTGTCGGCAGTTTTCATCCAAATATTCTGGAAATTAGTCAGGAAGGTTGTTTTGATGATTTCTAGGTCAAGTTCGAAGATGGGTTATCTCCGGTCAAAAACTAGGTCTCGGGAGCTAAAAAAAGAAAAAGCTTGTTAACACTCTAGCGACTGAAGTTTTGATTCAAATATTCTGGAAATTAGTCAGGAAGGTTGTTTTGATGATTTCTAGGTCAAGTTCGAAGATGGGTCATCTCCGGTCAAAAACAAGGTCACAGGAGCTAAAAATAGAAAAAACTTGTCAACACTCTAGCGGCTGCAGTTTTGATTCAAATATTCTGGAAATTTGTCAGGTAGGTTGTTTTGATGATTTCTAAGTCAAGTTCGAAGATGGGTCATCTCCGGTCAAAAAATAGGTCACAGGAGCTAAAAATAGAAAAAGCTTGTTTACACTCTAGTGGCTTAAGTTTTCATTAAAATATTCTGGAAATTTGTCAGTAATTTTGTTTTGATGATTTCTAGGTCAAGTTCGAAGATTGGTCATGTCCGGTTAAAAACTAGGTTACAGGAGCTAAAAATAGATAAATCTTTTTAACACTCTAGTGGCTGCAGTTTTGATCCAAATTACCTGGAAATTGGTCAGGAAGGTTGTTTTGATGATCTCTAGGTCAGGTTTGAATATGGGTCGTCTCCGGTCAAAAATTAGGTCACATTGCCCAAATATGGAAAAACCCTTTGAACACAATAGAGTTCACATGTTTGACTCAGTTGTAATCAAACTTGGCCAGGATGCTTGTCCAAGACATTGCTTGGATGCGGTTGATGGGTCAGGGAAGCGATCCAGGGCCATCATGGCCCTCTTGTTTTAGTGTTACTTCTTTATTTCTTAAGGGATCAACTTCATACTTCAAATATATGTACCTTATCAACATTCACATCTTATGTGACAAGGTTCATAACTCTAGCACCAATATTTTAAGGTTTATCTCCCCTTGAACTTAGAATTTTCCTGAAAAAGTACTAATTTTACTGTTACTTCTTTATTTCTTAAGGGATCAACTTCATACTTCAAATATATCTACCCTATTATCATCCACATCTTATGTGACAAGGTTCATAACTCTAGCACCAATATGTTTAGATTTATCTCCCCTTAAAGTTAGAATTTTCCTTAATTTTTTTTTTACTGTTACTTCTTTATTTCTTAAGGCGTCAATATCATACTTCGAATATATGTACCTTATCATCATCCATATCTTATGTGACAAGGTTCATAACTCTAGCACCAATATTGCAAGAATTATCTCCCCATAAACTTAGATTTTTTTACTAGAAAAATGTTATTTTTTACTATAACTTATTTTAGTTTTAAAGGTATCTACCTCAAACTTCAAATACTTATTCCTTATCATCAATTACATTTTATGTAAAAATGTTCATAACTCTTGAATCAATATTTACAGATTTATCTCTCTTTGAACTTAGAATTTTCTTTACGAAATATTATAACTTACTTACTTTTGAAGGTATCTACTTCAAACTTCAAATATATATTTCTTATCATTACACACATGTTGTGTGACAAGGTTCATAACTCTAGCGTGACTATTTCTAGAATTATTCCCCTTGATCTTGGAATTTATGTTAACAATGTTATTATTTTACTATAACCTAAAACATAATTATACATAATTGATTTTTCTTTCATAGTTTTGTCTTCCTTACTGCGTCCAGTATTCTATTAGTCGAGCTTCGCTGTCTTCTGTGACAGCTCTTGTTTAGTTACGTGAGACACAAGTTGAAAATTGGAAATTTTTACTAAGTCTAGGTCAATACTCTAAAAATACTAAATCTATCCACACGAAAATACCCAGGTGCACAACTACACATGTTGATCAACATTCCTTAGGTCAAATACTTTTTAGTTACATGCGACACAAGTTGAAAATTGGAAATTTTTACTAATTCAAGGGCAATAACTCTAAAAATACTAAACATATCCACACAAAAATACCAAGGTGCACAACTACAAATGCTGATCAACATTCCAGTAAGGTTTCATGACTCTAGGTCAAATATTTTTGAGTTACGTGTGACACAAGTTAAAAATTGCAAATTTTTACTAAGTCAAGGGCAATAACTAAAAAAATACTAAATATATCCACACGAAAATACCCAGGTGCACAACTACACATGTTGATCAACATTCCTTAAAGGTTTCATGACTCTTGGTCAAATATTTTTTTGAGTTACGTGTGACACAAGTTGAACATTGCAAATTTTTACTAAGTCAAGGGCAGTAACTCTAAAAATACTAAATATATCCACATGAAAACACCCAGGTGCACAACTCCACATGCTGATCAACATTTCTATTAGGTTTCATGACTCTAGGTCAAATACTTTTTGAGCTATATGTGCGAGACAAAAAGGGAACGGATGGACGGAAGGACGGACGGACAAGGGTAAATCTAAATGCCCCCCCCCCCTATAGTGCGGGCACAAAAATTGATATTCAGTATATTCGCATGATTTGCAGACTAAGATAAATGAACGTAAATGGTTCCAGGTACCAAACTTCAAGTTATTTTACATCTCAACTTCTTGCCCTCAAGGACTATGGGTTCAAATCTCATGTTCTGTTCAGGTGGCCGTTCGCGCCAACTGATTCAACGTCACCTGATGAAATTGATATTATAAGAATGAAGCATAAAGGTTACTCTCTCTATGAAACGCCTTTAATCCTGCGGGTGTCTCTATGCAGCGTTATTCTTCCTGCTGGCGTCTCTATAAAATGTCCTACCTGCTGGCGTCTTAATGAAATGTCATTCGTCCTGCTGGCGTCTCTATGCAACGTCATTCTTCCTGCTGGCGTCTCTATGCAACGTCATTCTTCCTGCTGGCGTCTCTATAAAATGTCCTACCTGCTGGCGTCTTAATGAAATGTCATTCGTCCTGCTGGCGTCTCTATGCAACGTCATTCTTCCTGCTGGCGTCTCTATGCAACGTCATTCTTCCTGCTGGCGTCTCTATGCAACGTCATTCTTCCTGCTGGCGTCTCTATGCAACGTTATTCTTCCTGCTGGCGTCTCTATAAAATGTCCTACCTGCTGGTGTCTCTATGCAACGTCATTCTTCCTGCTGGCGTCTCTATGCAACGTCATTCTTCCTGCTGGCGTCTCTATGCAACATCATTCTTCCTGCTGGCGTCTCTATAAAATGTCCTTCCTGTTTGCGTCTCTATGCAACGTCATTCTTCCTGCTGGCGTCTCTATGCAACGTCATTCTTCCTGCTGGCGTCTCTATGCAACATCATTCTTCCTGCTGGCGTCTCTATAAAATGTCCTACCTGCTGGCGTCTTAATGAAATGTCATTCGTCCTGCTGGCGTCTCTATGCAACGTCATTCTTCCTGCCGGCGTCTCTATGCAACGTCATTCTTCCTGCTGGCGTCTCTATGCAACGTCATTCTTCCTGCTGGCGTCTCTGTAAAATGTCCTACCTGCGGGTGTCTCAATGAAATGTCATTCGTCCTGCCGGCGTGTCTAAGAAACATTTTCCATCCTGCTGGCGTCTTACTGCCTTACATGTAGAATTATGTCGTTTAGGATTGAAGACGTATCATCTTACGGGTAAACTAAGAAAATATGAGTGTCTGAAGAAATTTCTTTTTTTGTCATTAATTTGACATCATAAAATCGTAGCGCATAAAGAAAGAAACGTTGTATATAACCTGAATAATATTTTACCGTTAAGTAAATTTACACTATCTAGAGTGAAATGGGGAACTTGTCAATCGTACGGTAAAATAATCATTTTCCTTAGTTTATTTTCTATTATCTCGGTTCAATTTAGAACTGTTAAGCACTTATTGATTATTTTCAAAGGTATTGGTAGCTTATAATTATGTAAGTAAAGTTTTTAATAGATGGCTTTAACATAATTATGTAATTGAGTAAAACATACAGAAGTGTCTATTTGTATTGATTAAATATTAGATTATATTGGAGTTTCAAAAGTGTTAAAGTGTTTTAAAGCTGCAAACCTACAGATGAGCAACAATATTTCAATAAAATCAAACCTGAAAAAAAATATTATTAAGTTTTAAGGAAAACTAAAATATTCAAAATTCTAGTAATAGTTTACATGTTATGTAAGATTAATGACCTATTTTTCAGCATTTATAACTATATCTCTATTACGTGACTAACGCAGTAACGGCTATTTTTGTATATTTTGACCTCTTTTTGGTAACTTACATGGGTTGTAAGTGCCATTGATAATGTTTTAATTGCATTCGTTTAGTTACTTTACAATATTATACGTTTTAAGACATTTTAAAATTTTCATGAAAATTAGCATGAATCTGATGGCATGCTGCTTTAAAATGTTTTAAGATGATATCAGATATATTTCACCAGACTATAAGAAATATTGCACATATCGTGTTATGACGTGAGAAGATATATTTCACTGAGATAGAAAGAATAAAGTAATGCTTCTCTTAAAAATAAAAAATTACTAAAAAATAGAAATATATGAAATGATATACAAAATGTAGTACATATTTCTCTTAGAAAAATATTGACAGGTCCCTTCTCTGACCTTTTATTTGAATAGCAATAGATTTAACCGCAAAAATTGACATGTGCTCATTTGATAACAAATATGGTGTGATGAAATTTATATTTGTATTCGCTAATCTGATAATATGTATTAGACAGGCCACGGATCTATATGTGCACTACATGTATCTTACTGTTACAGAAATATCATAGGAAATATTTCACATAGAAATAAAGATATGTTTTCACCGGGAGAGAAAAAACTGGTATATAACATATATTAAACTGAATGTTACAATGCTTCTCTACATCCTTATGTATAATTTAAAGATAAGCATTATTTGACTAAACGCTTACTGGCGCTAGAAAAGCCTAACTGCATGACATAGATATATAACTGCACTAAATATGAATATTATTTGTTAATGGTAGCTCTACTTGACTAACCCATGTCGTTTAGTACATGTATTTGATTGTTTTAATGACTTTAATTATCATAAATATACTGCTACTTATTTGCTAGTTTTGAGTTTTAAATGAAATAGTTTACAACGTTACTTTTCTTGTTTTGTAGACTCTGTGAACGATTCTAGAGGTACCGGAAATGACGACATTCAGAAACCGTCATTGAAGCACGTGTGTCCTATATGCAGTCGACCGTTTCCATCTTCTTCCGGTTTATCACGTCACCTGCTTACACATACAGGAGAGAAACCGTTTGAATGTGAGGTTTGTGGTAAACGGTTTAACAGAAAGGGAAATATCTAACCACTCGGCAATGTCCAAAATTTACTCCTTGGCCAAATTTCTAGGCCATATTTTGCGTCTGAATATTTTTTGCATTTAGAGGAAATAAGTCTTTTTAATACTAACATTTTGTTTTATCACAAATTTGTTCACACCTCATGTTATAAGCATCTCACATATCTTTAAATAAAAACGCATGTTTGTCCTTTCTACAGAAAAGAAGAAGAAGAAAAGCATTTCTGAGGCATAATATGTGCCTTTAAGGATAACTTCCTATACAAATAACGATTTCTTAACGTATTAATAACACATCTGTCAAATCAGCTTGAATATTTAAATGATTGATGTTTGCACTTGATTTTATCAGCTAAAGTCATCTACTTAATCAGCAAGTCAAATTGTGTTTCAATTCCGTATGAAATCGTCTCTATTCCCAAATTTATAAAGCCGTAAAGATCGTTTTATTAGATCATATTTATTTGAACAATCTTCTTTAAGGAAATATTTAGAATCGTCTGTAAAACACTTACGATATTCATCATTATGATGATACTATTTATTCTGTAAATAGTTCTTGAATATGTTTGCTGTTCTTTGTTATTATTCCTTATATAGACGGAAGAAACACAAACATAATCAGTTTTGTAATTTCAATAATAATTATAAGTTTGTTTTTATTACTGTCTACACTGCTGTAAAAACATGGTCACCATTCTTCACAATAAGAGTAGTTTTTTCCCCAATGTTTTACTTTTCATAGACGTTCTGTTAGTTTACATTATGATTACATCTAAACTAAAAATGTTTCATATATATAAAGTTTATGTCAATTATTGAGAGAAAGTGCCAGTTATTGAGTGTCAGATATTTAGAAATGTACTCATTAAAGCTAAAATATTTCGAACTGAATGTACTGATGTTTTTAAACTGACATTTTCCTGTCGTTTATCTAATACTTGTAATCATATGTCCAGACAGTTCACGTAAAAACTGTAAGTGAAATGTTACAGAAACTGTTAGAAATCCATTTTAAGCTTTTAAATATTTAAAAACATTCGCAACAAAATCACCAGTTAATTAGCAAAACATAGAGAACATTAGTTGACATATGAAAAGCAAAATATCGGACACAATGTTACATTAACTTTAGGAAGTACATGTACTTCTCAAATTTCCTTTTAAATATTAATAAAAAAAGAATGTCATTTGTTTACGTGCAAAATTGTTCCACGAATTGAAAAACAAAGTTGTTTTCTGTTGTATTTTATGAAAACAGTTCTTTTAAAATGTCAACCCAATATTCAGGTGAAGATTTATTGTAATATTTTCAACAATCCTTCATATGTAAAAAGAAAAACTTCTGTTCAAAATTGATGTTGTATAACAACTTTATTCTAATTTTTGTGTCGCTTATACGGAGTATTGGCGACATATGGGGATCACTTCTCCGTCGTCTGTCTGTCCGTCAGTCCGTCCGTCCGTCACAAAACTTGTCCGGACTACTCCTCATAAACTACTGGTGCAATTTCATCCAAACTTTACAGGAATGATCAGTACCAAGTCTAGTTATGCAGCCGCACAGTCTGTTCAGGATCCATGCTGTTCGCTTACAAATCCTATTACAAGTTGAGAAACTGATGGCGAACAGCATGGATCCTGACCAGACTGCGCGGAGGCGCAGGCTGGTCCGGATCCATGCTGGTCGCAAACCCACTATGTTGGTTTTGTCATGACGCGGCTCATATATATAAATACAAAGTCCTTGCAACAGCCATGAGGGTCAAGTGTGTCGGAGTCAACGTATCTAACCACTCGGCAATGTCCAAAATTTACTCCTTGGCCAAATTTCTAGGCCATATTTTGCGTCTGAATAATTTTTACAGTTAGAGGAAATAAGTCTTTTTCATACTAACATTTTGTTTAATCACAAATTTGTTCACACCTCATGTTATAAGCATCTCACATATTATAAATCTTTAAATAAAAACGCATGTTTGTCCTTTCTACAGAAAAGAAAAAGAAGATGAAAAGCATTTCTGAGGCATAATATGTGCCTTTAAGGATAACTTGCTATACAAATAACGATTTCTTACCGTATTAATAACACATCTGTCAAATTAGCTTGAATATTTAAATGATTGATGTTTGCACTTGATTTTATCAGTTAAAGTCATCTATTTAATCAGCAAGTCAAATTGTGTTTCAATTCCGTATGAAATCGTCCCTATTCCCAAATTTCTAAAGCTGTAAAGATCGTCTTATTAGATTATATTTATTTGAACAATTTTCTTAAATGAGTTTGAAGTCAGGAAACATTTAGAATCGTCTGTAAAACACTAATGATAGTCATCATTATGATGATAATATTTATTCTGTAAATAGTTCTTAATATTTGCTGTGCTTTGTTATTAATCCTTATATAGACTGAAGAAACACAAATATAATCAGTTCTGTAATTTCATTAATAGGTTTGATTTTATAACTGTCTACACTGCTGTAAAAACATGGTCACCATTCTTCACAATAATAGAAGTGTTTTACTTTTCACAGACGTTTTACTTTTCACAGACGTTCTGTTAGTTTACATTATGATTACATCTAAACTAAAAATGTTTCATACTTCAAACCACTTGCCCCTCACCGCTGTGGGTTCGAATCCCGACAGGGACTTAGATTCTTTCATGTGAGGAAGCTATCCAGCTAGCTTACGGAACGTCGGTGGTTCTACTCAGGTGCCCGCTCGTGCCTGAAATAATGCACGGAGGGGCACCTGAGGTCTTCCTCCACCAGTAAAAGCTGGAACGTCGCGATATGACCTATACTGTGTCGATGTGACGTAAAACCCAAACAAACAAACAAACAAAAAATGTTTCATATATGTACAGTTTATGTCAATTATTGAGAGAAAGTGCCAGTTAACGATTGTCAGACATTTAGAAATGTACCCATTAAAGCTAAAATATTTCGAACTGAATGTTCTGACGCTTTTAATTTGACACTTTCCTGAGTGTCGTTAATCTAATACTTGTAATCATATGTCCAGACAGTTCACGTAAAACTGTAAGTGAAATGTAACAGAAACTGTTAAAAATCCATTTTAAGCTTTTAAATATTTAAAAACATTCGCAACAAAATCATCAATTAATTATCAAAACATAGAGAACATTAGTTGACATATAAAAAGCAAAATATCGGGCACAATGTTACATTAACTTTAGGAAGTACATGTACTTCTCAAATTTCCTTTTAAATATTAATAAAAAAAGAATGTCATTTGTTTACATGCAAAATTGTTCCATGAATTGAAAAACAAAGTTGTTTTCTGTTGTATTTTATGAAAACAGTTCTTTTAAAATGTCAACCCAATATTCAGGTGAAGATTTATTGTAATATTTTCAACAATCCTTCATATGTAAAAAAAACTTCTGCTCAATATTGATGTTCTATAACAATTTTATTCTGATTTTTGTCAATCAAACCTTCTTTATATATTATAATCACGATAAGAAAACTACTTACATGAATAACTATAAACTCTATAGAGTAAACAATAGATTCCTTTGATCTAAAACAGCTTCAATTATAAGCAGGTTATCTCGGTACATACTCTGCTTTTATCACTTACCTTAATTGATGATTAAATTAATTAATTGATTAACTATTTTTTTATAAATTAAATACTTGATACATACATGTATCTTGCTTTGCTTTATGATAAATTTCCGTATATATTTATAAAGTTTGATAATTAACACATTAAAGTGATTAAAGTGGGTTTGTCGTCAGTATATGAAATAAAAATACTCTAGCTTCATGCCATACGTGACAGACGACAAATCCCACATGATATATGAATCAGTGGTGAAAGACTTATGACCATTAGACTTAAAGTCATGGAGAAAGTAGACCGGACAAGCTACCAATGGATACTCTTCCTTTTAATTGTACATAAAAATGCGGGAAATCTTTTTTTCACCTTAAAAATAATTTTATTCAACTATCTTGGCTTTCAGCTTATTTGTAAACACCAAGGTGATTAAAAATGTTTACATGAATATAAGAAATCTGTGTAAGAGAACAATTTTAATTGAATATATTTAAATAATTTAATAGCCATTCGACCAGTACAGACTGCGCCGGCGGGATGCTTCGATCGTACGTTCCTTTAGATTAATTGGGTTTAGTTGGTATTTAAACTCAATTGCGAAACAAGTTTTTGCAACTTATATTAATCATTTTCGAGTCCGCTTCCTAGAACAAACCAGTACTGGTGTCATATGAAGAAGTATGGTCGTGACCCGTTTAGGGCTCGATGCCATGATCTACGGGTTGAGAGGCAGACACTTTAACCATGAGGCAACTGTTCCCCTTGGTATTACCTTAAATTAGTTATGGTGAATGGTTTTATCAAACTGAAAGATATACAAGATATTTTTTCTTCATGGTATAATGGTAAGAATAGAGAAAATATTATTTGTTATTTGGTGATGGATTTATTAATCAGGTGCATTTAATATTATATAATGTGAATACAGTATGTTTGACTTTCAATTTTAATGTAGGTTTGTATAGTAAAAACACGTTTATAAATATTTTTTACAATTATCACTGTCGGGTACGTGAAACGGTGCAGATTTTCCGTGATTCGGTGCTTCCATCCAAGATGGAGGAAGATACACAACAATTAAGAATGTACGTGTCATTTTATTTTCTATGTATTTAGACAAATCCGTTTTATATTGTCAAAGAATGGTTGAATGTAACGTAAAAATAAATTCACTATAAGATCAATAAGTTCACAATGTATTTTACATATTATATATGTGATTTGTGTTACTAAAAACTTTTGTAAAAAAATGTACATGAAATTCGAACCGAAAGAAGTGGTAAATGTCTGAGTCGATCTTCGTACAAGAGGCACTTATATTGAAGTGAATTCTCTTGTTTATTACAGTAAATGTATAAAATTATCTGTGCAATTTCAACATT